ATCTTGTACTTTTATTTTCTGAATTTTAAATAGATTTTGCTCCAAATCAGTGTTTGTTAATCTCAGTGCTGTCTGCTTTGATTTATTGCTCAGAATCTTTACCAAAGATTTTTTAAAGAGGCCTATAAAGAAAATGATGGGACAGATACTTTTGTAATAGGTTGCTGAAAAAGTGGGTGTTCACGGCATTTCTCAATAGACAATGTGTTCGGATGAGGTCAAATTCATGTAATGAGCGTATCCGGTCTGATGTTTACAATGTGCTTTCAATTAAAAAGCTGAGAGGAATGGGATGTTTCACAGGATGCAGTAATGTAACTGAAAGCCATGCAGTTGCCAGCTTCAGCTCTTTGATGGTTGACACGTTTGGACGTGTGACGGCCGCCACATCAGCAGGAGAAACTGATTCACGGTCAAAGGGCTTCTCGTAACTCATGTAAAGAGAATTGGGGGATTGTGGGTAATGCATGAGCTGATTAATGCACAGAGGGAGGGGGAAAGATAACACTAGCTAACTCACAGAGTGCTCATCTCCTCTGGGAACAAGAATGCTGCACAATAGACTCAGACTGAAACAGAAAATATGAGCGCTATGGTGGAGGGAGAGATAAAGGACCAAAGGGAGAGTAGTAAAATGAAGCAGGGGAACGAGACGGTCGACAGACTGAGAGAATGAGGAGATGGCACAGATCCTGGAGTCTGGGACAGGAATGTTTCCATCACTCTCTACAGTAACAGTTTTAACAGAGAAGATCTCACATTTGAAGACCAGGCCAAATACATGAAAGAACATCTTTAGCACTTAGAATCGGCCAAACCTGAACCGAAACAAAAACCCTGGAGTCACCACAATCTTCAAAATGCAGCTTCCAAAAAGAGGTTTTCACAACATTTCCATAGAAGAACTATTTTGGATTTCAGTCACTTTCAGTGAAAAGTTCTTAAAACCTTTTTTTTTTAGTGTGAAGAACATTTTAATAATCTAAAGAACCTTTTTCCACTATAAAGATTTTTTTTTGTGCAATGGAAAGTTTCTGTGGACGTTAAAGGTTTTTCATGGAACCATCATTGCCAAAAAATAACCTTTATATTTAAGAGTGTGGGGTGAATGCTCACCATAAACACACGTAGAGCATCATATAACACTGATTAAATGAAAATGTTGTGAACATCACCATTATGATTACATTTACATTTAATCATTTAGCAGACGCTTTTATCCAAAGCGACTTACAAATGAGAACAATAGAAGCAATCAGACCTACGAGAGAACAAAACTAGCGAGTTTAGGTATATTGGTGCAGCGCCAGTGGTTGTCTTGTAGGCAAGCATCAGTACCTTGAATTTGATGCGAGCGGCTAGTCGGCTACTGGTAGCCAGTGTAACCTGATGAGGAGAAGATTAACGTGAGCTTTTTTTTGGCTCATTGAAGACCACTCTCGCTGCTGCATTCTGGATCAGTTGCAGAGGCTTGATAGTGCATGCGGGAATGCCCGCCAAGAGAGCATTACAATAGTCCAGTCTGGCGAGAACAAGAGCTTGAACATGAAGTTGTGTGACTTGCTCTGACAGGAAGGGTCAAATCTTCCTAATGTTGTATAAGGCAAATCTGCAGGACCGGGCCATTGTAGCAATGTGGTCTGTGAAGCTTAACTGATCATCGATCACAACTCCTAGGTTTCTGGCTGTTCTGGAAGGAGTTATGGTTGATGAACCCAGCTGTATAGAGCAGCTGTGATGAAACGATGGGTTTGCTGGAACCACAAGCAGTTCTGTCTTAGTAAGGTTGAGTTGACGGTGATGGTCCTTCATCCAGTTAGAAATATCTCTCAGACAGGCTGCAATACGAGCAGCTACCGTCGGATCATCTGGTTGGAATGAGAAGTAGAGTTGAGTGTCATCAGCATAGCAGTGATAAGAAAAGCCATGCTTCTGAATGACAGATCCTAATGACGACATGTAGATGGAGAAGAGAAGTGGTCCAAGCACTGAGCCTTGAGGAACCCCAGTAGCAAGAAGTTGTGACTTAGAAACCTCACCCCTCCAAGACACCCTGAAGGACCTACCTGAGAGGTAAGACTTGAACCACAGGAGTGCGGTTCCTGAGATGCCCTGAGATGATTATTAAGAAAGTTGCAGGCCAGATTCGAACCAGAGACATCTAACCACTGAACCACAGCTCTGTCTAGACGAAACATTAACACTCATTCAGCGGAGTGCTCTGTCTTGTTTGGAGGTTTGATCAATATTTGACCACACTGACCAGCAGAACGAGCCCAACAGCAAACAGCACCAGCTCAGTCAAGGTCACTGCAGATAATCTAATCCAGGATGTCCTGCTTGCCTAAAACCCAGCTGCTACAACATGTGCTCTTAGTATCATATATTTTTGTGGAACAGATAAAGTCAGCAACAGTGATTTACTGGGACCATGAATTAGTGTAGGGGGAAGCAAATCCTAAAATGAAGAGAGAGCTTTCATGTTTTTCACAGTCAATTTAAATAAATAAATAAAATAAGAATATAATTTAGAAATGAAAGCCACATGCCATTAAACAAAATACCAATAATGTATAAATACTGTAACTGTTGATATATATAAAATATATGTAACAAATTATGTTAAATATTGTTAAAAATACATCTACTTTTTAATGTGTATATCAGTGCCAGATTTTATTTATCAGATTTTATTTCAGGTACAATTATTAAGCAACTTTGGTCTAACAGATTGTTTTTTTCTCACAGTTTACTAAAACCACAATAGATGATGTAGTGCTGAGTGTATTTATTAAATGGAATTTGATTGCGTTATCAATATATACTTTACAATCATCAATAAACTGTTCCAGCTAAAATATTCTGAATTTATGTTAAAAGGGTAACACTAGAGAACAATACCAGGAAAAGCTTGAAATGGTCAGAGCGCAGCAAATTTTTTATTTATTTTTTTTATAAAAAATATATACATATTTTCGGAATTAGCTTTTTCATTATTAAAGTGGTTGAATTGATCAGAAATTCCACTTCCATTTCAATTTCTCTACAGAAATGAATGGGTAACTATGGTAACCAGATTTTGTTTTGCCCAATAAGTGTGTCGGACCTCCTGTATCTATGCAGAGTGATGGAGAAATTGTGTTTGTTTGTGTGTGATGTGGAGACTGGGGAGGGGTGGAGGGCGGATCCAAGACACTGTGGCCGTTAAGGAAAACCCCAGACCATCAGTATGATAACACAGTCTTGAGCGTCATGATAAACCTTTATCTTATAATATTAGTAATGAACCCTGCTTTTCTTTCCTTGTTGTTTGTAAACTATATTTCTCCCTCCTTCAGTGTGGCAGCCAGGCAAACCAGTGAACACTCTCACATGAGCGATACTGAACTGAACTTACACATGCTATTCAGAGAGCTGCACTGAAAGGTCAAGAATGCAACCATTTGGGCAAATATTTGATTTAAAACTAAGCAGGCTGGTGTACGTGTGCTCAAAGAGAGCCAGTGAGGTGCAGGATGACCTGAGGGTTAACAGGCTCTTTGTGTACCTGAATGGAAGAACAGGAAGCGTGTGAACTCTTAGACAAACACACACTTCAAACACATACCAAACCAGTCAATATTATGATTTAGATATTTAGGCCACATATACATCCCGCAAAGTGTTGAGTGTGACATGAATGCATTTAAATGCTGGAGTGTATCGCTAAATAGCTTTTCTTTGAATATGCAATACAGGAGGCACTCCTGAAGCAGCATTTTGAGTCTCATGATTGTTAACAACCAGTATGGACGCCAACAGATTAACCTCTTTGGTGCTATTTTTGATGGAAGAAACACTAGCGACTGCAGACATATTAATGTCTGGTCATTTTTAGTAACCCTCTGTCCACATATGCATCATTTAGAACAACCAATAAACAACCAGTCTCTACCAAACCAATACTTATGTTCCATTCATCTGTAATATTAACATATTTTGCCTAATATACATAATCTGTCCACCTCTGAATGATAGAAATCCACTATACATTAGGTCAGTTCTCTCCATAGAGTGTCCTTATAGCCTGTGACTGTATGTTTGGTGTATTTACTCCACTACAAAGATTATCTGTGATTCACACAGCACAGAACTGGAGCGCCGCCATGAAGGAGCCTCCCACTGAAAATGCTCAGTATTAGCAGCATGTATGTCCAAACAAGCTTCTGAATGGCAAGATAACCTAACAACAAATGTGGAGAAAACAGACTGCAATATAAAACAAACACAAATCTTTGTCTAATGCATTTGATCTCCAGTTTGTGTATGATCATAGTCAGTAAGACTGCAATACTCAATACGGAAACAGAACATGCCAAGAAATATATCACCAAACAAAAACGCTGAGTGCACAAAGATGTAGTCACATGAATAAACATAAAATGGAAACTCTTTGGATATAAAATGAATATCTTCTTAATATCTTATTTCACAACACTACAAACGTTCTAATTTAGCAATTTTACAACCTTACCAAAATAAATAAATAAAGTGATAAAACATTTCTTATATAAGTCCGCCACCATGTGGTAAGAAATGGAAATGATTTAAAGATTTCTCAAACAAAACCCTGGATGAACCACAGCAAACAAAAGTTGACATTATTTGTAATAAAAAATAAAGTCACAATACAACAAAGGTCTTTAGGCTCCTTTAAATAAAACTTCATTTTTATTATAATTTTTAGGGTGAAATATGACTCAGACATGCTCTTAATATGTTTTGTGAAATTCGCCCTCAAAGTCCTACCTGGATTGGCCTGCCATCAGAAACTCTAATAATTCTATTGCATGTAAGACTCTTTCATGGTGTAAATTTTATAAGCTAACATAGTATGCTTTGGAGTATTGTTTGTAACCCTTATTGTCTTTTGTTCTTACTTGTCTTTGTAATTGTATTTGTTGTTCTTCTATTGCATAATAAAAAAAAGAAAAGAAAAAAAAAAAAAAATTGGCCTGCCATCTTTTGATCCGATCATGTCCCTCCACTCCAGCAGAGAGCGCTGCAGGTTGTCAAGGCCTGTTTCCCATAATCTGATGTCCACAGTCACCACTCCACCAGAGCCCAGAAGAGCCATCACTACATCTGTGTCTGAGACCTTTGAGATCCACACAGTGTAGGGAGACATGGAGCTGCTCCTGAACACGTCAGCATGACAGCCAATGATCAGAACCACTGGAAGATATTCAGCTGCCTTACACACAGTTACATGAACCTAAATGTAAGGCCTTTTGAAGACATTTTTAAAACGGCAAGCATAAAATTACACATAAAATCATCAGGGTCAGATGAACATATTAGGGCTAGAAGGTGTTAAAATGTCAGAAGCCAAAGTACACAAATACAGAAGTGTCAGAAGACAGAGTACAAAATTAGGTAATCAGGTAAAAATTTAAAGGAAGAGTTCGCACAAAAATGAAAATGTACTCACCCTCAGGCCATCTAAGATGTAGATGAGTTTGACTCTTCATAGGAACAGATCTGGAGAAATTTAGCTTTACATCACTTGCTCACCAATGGATTCCCTGCAGTGAATGGGTGCCGTCAGAATGAGAGTCCAAACAGCTGATAAAAACATCACAATAATCCACAAGTAATCCACACCACTCCAGTCCATCAGTTACTGTCTTGTGAAGTGAAAAGCTGTGTGTTTGCAAGAAACAAATCCATCATTAAAAGATTTAAATTTAAACAGTTGCTTTCGACCAAAATATGAGCCCATAATCCATAAAAATGCTTCCTCCATATCTCCCACAGAAAATCCTCACATTAAAATCAACCAACATATTTGTTTAGAGCTGTTTTGGACTGTTTTCACTTGTAAACGGTGCTTGAACTGTGCATATTTCTCTTCTGATTCAGAGGAGACAACTTTTCACTTGAGAAAGTAATATTATGGGTAGAGGACTATTTTAGTTAACTGATGGACTGGAGTGGTGTGGATTACTTGTGGATTATTGGTATCAGCTGTTTGGACTCTCATTCTTTATGACGGCACCCATTCACTGCAGAGGATCCATAGCTGAGCAAGTGATGTAATGCTACATTTCTACAAATCTGTTCCGATGAAGATACAAACTCATCTACATCTTGGATGGCCTGAAGGTGAGTACATTTCAGCAAATTTTCATTTTTGGGTGAACTATTCCTTTAAGCAGAATGCAATTTGCATTCTCATCTTGCAAACCGTTACTGGCTCATTTTTGTTTATTTACTGGTAAAAAAAAAAAAACATATTCTATTATATAAAAAGGGATATTCCTGAATATTTTATGAACATCACTGTCACAATATAATTTATGCAAAAATATTCATCACATTAGGCTACTTACAACATAATGTAATCATGTAAATTATATTAATATTATTACATCATTTTAAATTTACTGTATCCAAATGGCTGGTAAAATGAATGGTATTTAGCAAAAGGCTTTGACCGAACAGAAGAGGGAGCTAGAGTTTAATGAAAGAGCCTGACTCTGTACCTCGGGACTGGAATGCATTTGAGCTTCTTAGAGTTCAGGTCTGTCACTTCAAGGTAAGCAGCAGTCATGGGTGGTGTGACATCTGTTGGTCAATCAATACCATCATTATCATAAGTAAAGCACCATTATATTTGCTAATACAGTTGTATATGATGTGTACATATGAATGTGTCAGAGCTTAACCTTTGGGGTAGATCTCAGTCAGTGGGACTTGTGTAGGGGGCAGTGCTCGGACCACTTGATTGACACCTAACACAGACACAGTTGACCCTCTTTGCTGGCCCGGTTCGCTTACTTGACCCAAAAAACATATCAGGTCCCTGACCCTCTGTTATGGGCGAAGATCTCTTAAAGCTGTACACTTCATTTGGGGACTGTGGAAATACAATACAAAACATGTTATCACTTGGGTTTGCCATACAAGAGTATCCATGATAATAATTAAAAAAAATAAATAAATACACAGTTTAAAACATGTGCCACATTTTTAGAAAAATGCACTCTCTGTGTTGGATTCTTATGGTTTTAAAATTATTTACAGTTTACAAATAAGAACACAAATAACAATTTTAACATTTTCAAGAAACATTTTATTATAGTGACTCCAAAAATGTCATTTAATAAAAAAAACATTAAAAAATATTAAAATATTTTCTTACACCTTGAAGACGTGTGTGTATGTGTATTCATTTTACAACCTAAACCTACCTTAACAAGGTTTCCTTTTAAATTATTATGAGAGACTTACTAATATTCTATGAAATAATTTATCCAAAAAATATTCATCACATTAGGCTACTTACAACATAATAATAATGTAAATTATGTTAATACCATTACATCATTTAAATTGACATATAAAACATTTAAGACATTTTAGGCCTTGATTTAAAGAAAATCTAAATTAATATTTCAAAATCAATGTGCACTTCAAAATTTTGAAATTCAAAATTAAAATTTCAAAGTGAATGTGCACTTCAAAAATAAATAGATTTGGACTAAATAAGCACCATATCACTGATCTATAGAATTAAACTGTATTTTACCACAGCGTATGTCATACCCACCATGAGATCTGAGAAGCCCACAATAACATTAGCATAGATGTTAGTGTCACAGAGGATGCGGTTGGGAGAGACGATCTTCTGGTCCAGGGCAGTGCTGAGGTTCTCACTGGGCAGCTGCTCATTCGATACCTCCTGAGGAGCTGTGGCTTCCATCCCTGAAGCACAAAGACAGTCAGACCATCACTCCACTCTAAAATGACCCCCTGTAGAGATGATAATGTGTCCCTCACTACTAAACCCATAAAAGGGTTCAGAGTGTTTCTACCATGACTCTGCATTTGTGACATCTTTATACCCCAGTCTAATTGGTCATTATTCAGACCTTCTGGTGACATTCTGTCACACTCGATTTGATAAAGACCCCAATCCTGCTGATGGGAACTTTTGATGTCATCAAAAACATGCTCATTTTTCAGAGCAAACGCTGAAACGTGTCTGACACTTTAGATGTACGATGCCCACTAAGTACAGGCATTAGTCTATCTCTATGACAGCAACATTCATCTCAATAAGTGATACTATGAGTTATTAAGCGTCTTTCTGCTCTTCATGCTCCAGAAACAAGTGCTGAAGAAGAAATGACAAGGGGCACTTCATCAGAAGGAAGCTATGGTTATGTAACCCCGGTTCTGTGATACCAGAGTGAGGAATCTCACCACACTTTCCTCCTCGCAGCAGCAGGGTGAAGACCTGCTGAGAATGACATGACGACAGGTGGCAGCGGCTTATAACCGTGACCTGTCTGTCAGCCAACAGACGTAGTGTAACTGCTTCTTCCGTGGACAGTCACGATCTGAGGCAGAGGTACTTTACTCTGATTGATCGTAACATTTGGAGAAAACCCGCAGCCTAACTATGAGCAATAACAAATAGCATTTGTTCATTTAGCCCAGAGGAGAACTGGCCTCTCGACTGATTTTTCAAATATTTTTTTTTTCTACATTTCTGACACCAGTTTGGGTTTCTTGCTTCTGTCGCCATTGGCTTGCTTAGTTGGGGACGGGGGTTTAAAAGACACTTAATATTCGGTACTATTGTTGATTTGATTGCACTGACAAAAAAAGTAAGCTAAACTGAACTTTATAGCTGAATCCAAGGGCCGTTCACACGGAACGCTTTTTTCCATACCAATACTTTTCACACTAGACGGACATGTTTGACCATTGCGTACTAAAGCGTTCTCAAAAAGTGGTGCTCAAGTTCAAATAAGTTCAACTTAAAAAAAAAAAGCGTCTCGAGGCCTTGCGGTTTTTTTTTCCATTCCACTGCAAAGCAAAAACGTGTTTTGTGAATGGCCCCTAATTTGTTTCATAATGAACTGAAGTAAACTGAATCAACATTAAACTGACTTGAGTTGAATAATGATACTATTGTCTTTTAGAGCCTGCTTTACAGCAGAATTTAAATTTGTCTCATATTTGAAGAAGTTATTTTCCTGTTTATTACTGAGAAGCTGCTTTGAAACAATCTGTATTATATAAAGTGATATATAAATAAATGTGACTTGATCTGACTAAAAAATTTAAAGTGAAAGCATGCCCACTAGGAGTGAGAATGGAGAGTGCAATAAGCATAAATAAGAGTGAACAGATTAATTTTGCAAGCACATTTTTGTACACCAGGCAGCGTCTGAGACCATATTTACCATGCAAGCCATCAAAGATGACACCAAGTTTATTCACATGCAAAAGTCCTGAATCTGACACAAGTCAGATTTAAAAATCCCCCGGGCTTCATGTCAGTCAAAGCAGATGTGAAACAGACACATTTGCCAAAGCAAGACAGATGGTGACTGACAAGTGTGAAGAGCTCTCAGTGGCCCTGATTGGACGGCAACAACGCAGAGTCACTTCTGATTGGCTGTTCTGGCCAATAAGCGATAAGAGTAGTTCACCTGAGCTGGTGCCAAAGCCGGTGTTAACCGCACTGATGGCGTGCAGCTGGCACACTCCCGTGTCCTCTGTGCCCATGTGCATGGGCTTTGTCAACAGGAACTTCCTGCACATGATGGTAGCACATTTAGTCAAAGACATACCAGCGTATCGGTTGAAGCAAATACTCTTATATAACCTCTAAAAAGGAAAACACCCTTTTCCAAGTCTGAGCAATGTGTGCAAACAACTAAAATATGAAGGAATTTGAATTTCATTGGCACCTGTCAGTCTTGCTCTCAACAAGAAGCCAGCGGTCTTCAGCCACCAGGAACACAGCTTTGAGATTGATGGGGAGGGAGATGACCTTCTAGCACATCAACAACATCCAGCTGACTCCTGTCCATGTAGAGCAGAGTGCAAATCAGTAGGCCATGCCTGAACAGGACACCAGAGCTCTGATCCGAAACCTAATGAGCTGCTAGCAGTCTACAGCCTACATAGACAGCTGCTTTCTAAGACAACATCCTAACTAAACAGGAATAGTTCATCCAAAAATGAAAATTCTGGCATCATTTACTTACCTTCATGTCGTTCCGAAATCATAAGACTTTCATTTTCGAACACAAATGAATATATCTTTAATATTGTCTCATCATTTTGTCCATCTATTGATCGTCCACACAACCAAAATATTCAAGCTTCAAAAAGTACATAAAGACATTGTAAAAGTAATTCACATAGGTAATAATGACAGAATTGTCTTTTTTGGCACTAACCCTCATAACTAAATGATTTGGAGAGCACTGAGACCTATTCGGATGGGACTAGTTTTCTAAATTATGTTTGAGTTACAGTGCTACAGTATGTCTGTAACTCGTCTGCAGTGTCTGTGATTTTATGTACCGATTCAGATGGGACTAAAGGCCTGTTCACACCAAGGACAATAACTGTAACAATAACTTTTAATCATCGTTCGGTTTTGAGAATAGTGAAGTTACAGACTTTCACATTGGGACATGATGAGATTTCTAGAAGGCCGTTTGCTCTGGAATTTTTACAGTATGCAATTGACTCGTATCACAAGGATGGAGCTTATGGCGGACTTGCCAGCATGTTTCTAAGCTAAAGCCTCAACATTCATAGCATACAAAATTGTGTTTTTGTAATTAGACTAAATAATTGTCTTGTCTGTGCTTTTAAATTTTATCACTTCATCAGACATCTTATGCAGGTTTTTGTTGAAGTGCATTCTGAAATTGTAAGGAAATATGCATGTTGTCTTAAAATTTGGACAAGAGATGCTTTGGTTTGAAAATTAAAAATGCTACCGATATAGGCAGCTCACTAGGTTTCAGAACAGAGCATAAGAGTGGCATGTACACAAATGATTAAGGGACAGTAACCTACCCGTTTTCTTTGTAGAAGAGAAGCCAGTTCTTGTGGGTAAACACCTTGCACATTTTGTATGCTGGCTAATGTCAACAAAAAATATTAAGTTTACACATTATTAGATGTGATTGTTTGATTTTACACTGTGTCCTTACCAGATGTGATGCTAGCAAAGACACCATAAATGGTATCATTTCCATGTTAGTCAGAGTTTTTGTCCTAACCAGCCACAATGGTGATACATGACGAACTACAGAGATTCTAGTTTTGGAATGGTTTCTATTTCTGCAACATCGCAGCTGGGAACAAAAACTTACAAACTGTGTGTCCAGTGATAATAATAATCTGAGGTACTGATTATATGCTTTGTATAATCTTAAAAATGCTTAATTTGAGTTTGAATATCATTCTGTGTGATTTCAATAGTAACCCATAATGCAGGGTTTCCCAAACTTGGGTTTGTGAAAACCTCATTAATTAAATTAGAATAATGCAAAATAAGTGTAAAAATAACTACAACTTTAAAATAAATCAAAATGAATCCTTACTCAAAAAGATACATTTTGTTTACCTATTTGTTTACTATCATGTGAGCATTAACCAACATAAGAGAACCGTTAATGTGCTGTTAAATTATTTAAGTATTTAACAAAACAAAAAAAACTGCCACATTGAAAGTGACAATGGATAATTAATCTCAGATCTTGAAACTAAATTGCATCACACCTGCTTATAGGGAGATGGTTGGGAACACTGCAGAAATTATACATTCAATATGTGACCCTGGACCACAAAACCAGTCTTAAGTGTCAATTTTTCAAAACTGAGATTTATACATCATCTGAAAGCTGAATAAACAAGCTTTCCATTGATGTATGGGTTGTTAGGATAGGAGGACAATATTTGGCCGAGATACAACTATTTGAAAATCTGGAATCTGAGGGTGCAAAAAAATCTAAATATTGAGAAAATCGCCTTTAAAGTCCAAATGAAGTTCTTAGCAATGTATATTACTAATCAAAAATTAAGTTTTGATATATTTATGGTAGGAAATTTACAAAATATCTTCATGGAACATGATCTTTACTTAATATCCTAATGATTTTTGGCATAAAAGAAAAATCAATAATTTTGACCCATACAATGTATTTTTGGCTATTGCTACAAATATACCCCAGCGACTTAAGACTGGTTTTGTGGTCCAGGGTCACATATGTGTTTTTCTAGAGCAGTGGTTCTCAACCTTTTTGTCTGTTCACAATAACAGTTGATAAAGGTGTGAATTCAAATAATATTATATTAGTTTGCCGAGGCCCCCTGATTAAGAATGACTGATCTAGATGAAGATTTCCACCTGACTCTCTTTGTTGCTCCACCAGTTTGAGGTCTTGCGTGGTGGTTCCTCCTGTTTGTCCTGAGACAGGACCAGTCTCCTCACAGCGCCGGTGACCAGGTCCAGATGCAGCACTGTGTTGCCCTACAAAAATGAGACAGGAATGTTCACGCTGTTCGGTTCTGAAAAAGGTCAAATCAGTTCATTTAATTCCCTGAGGTACACTTATAATGTTAGATTGATGTCTAGGTTTTATGCACCAAGAACAGTCATAATTTAGTTTTACACAACCATTTTCCAGCCTCTATCTGACCCTGGCCTTTTTTACAACTGTGACTTTAAGACATGTAAATGTCCTTTTCACATATGATATGAATACTTTATGCAAGTATTATGCCAGCCTCCCATTACCTTTCACAGGAAAGGCTGGTGAGGAGTTGCAGGCCTTAAATCCCCCCACCATTAAATCTTCAGCATAATGGCTTCCTTATGCCCTGGCTTGCGCACACCGCATTCTGTCTGTGTTATTAATAGAAGCCTTGCATCACTTCTGGACAGATGGTGGGTCGGGCTGAGAGCAATGACCCCTGGATGACCCCCTGTGATGTCTGGACATCCATATTTTTAGATTTTTTATAAGTAATCATGTTCTCCACACCCCTTTTTCCACTGCTAACAGGTGTTTTAAGGTTTCCTCCAGGCTCGACTCTAATACACACCAGCTGCATTGTATGAAAGTAAATTCCTATTAGATTTCTTTCTGGTTTTTGGTTTGGTACCTTATTATGTAAGTGAAAGGGGTAGTTCACCCAAAAATGTATATTCTGTCATTGTTTACTCACCCACATGTTGTTCCAAACCTGTATGAGTGTCTTTCTTCTGTTGAGCACAAAAGAAGATATTTTGAAGAAGGTTGGTAACCAAACAGTTGATGGTAGCCATTGACTTCCATAGTATTTTTGTCCATACTATGGGTATCGTCTACTGTTTGGTTACCCACATTCGTAAAAATATTTTCTTCTGCATTTAGCAGAATAAAGAATCGTATACAGATTTGGAACAACATGAGGGTGAGTAAATGATGGCAGAATTTTCATTTTTGGGGGAACTATTCCTTTAAAGATATACAGTATCAAAAACAGCTTATTTAATTTTGATGCTCAGAGACAAAAATGGTTGTGTAAAACTAAATTAAAGGGATAGTCCCCCCCAAAATGATGAAGATATTTGAATGAAACTTGAGAGATTTCAGTCCCTCCTTTGAAAGTCCGTGCAACCAAAACTTTGAGGTTACACAAAGCCATTATAAAAGTACTCGAGTGATTTAACCCATGTGTTCTGAAGAGACACCATTGCTTTATATGACAAACAGCTTTAATTTAGGCTTTTATTTACATATAAACACTGATCAACATGCATACATAGAGCACATCAAATATGGTAAATGGAAGTTCAAATGTACTTGTGTGGCATGCATGAACAAACCTCATTGGTTCTCGCACATCAAGTAAACACATTTGAACTTCTGTTTGTAATATTTGATGAGCTCTATGCATGAATGCAAATTACTTTTACAATGTCTTTATGAACTTTTTGAAAAGTCAAAGTTTCAGTTGTGCAGACTTTCAAAGTAGGAACAGAATCTTTCAGATTCCATTAAAAAAAACCTTCATTTGTGTTACAGAGATGAACGAAAGTCTTATGGAAGGACATGATGGTGAGCAAATGATTTAAGGTTTAGGTGAACTATCCCTTTGAACGTGTGTTTTGGTAAACCATGATTAAGATTTTAAGTATACTTAAAAAAAACAATTTTAAATCTTACAAAGGTCGCCATTTAAATTTTAACTAAGGAAAAACAAAGCCTATAAACATAGTGACAACAACATCCAGCAAAGTACAGTTGATAATGTGCAGGCTTCAGTATACCTCAAGATGTTGTTTAACATGTTATTTAAAAAAAATAATAATAATAAAAACACCAAATGGTATCATTGCACAAACATCACATCTCGGTAGACTACGGTGAATCTATTAGCTCAAAACTCTGCCTCAAACTTGTTTTGATCTGTGACCATTTACTATTTCCATCCGCTATTATTAGACATTGTTTTCCCCTCACGGGTTTGGTGGAAATGATGCATCTATTGATGATCTTCTGTTTCCATGCTCAGATGAACCTCAGGGCAGGAATGACACCTGTAAATGGATCGCTAATGGCAGAAAGTGGACATCAACGCTTTCATGTGAAGTGTCCTTGTAGAAGAGCGGGTTCACACACACACACACGTATATTCTATTGCCCTACACCAACCCTACCCCTAAACCTACCCCTTACATGAAAGTGCGTGCATTTTTACTTTCTCAAAAAAACTCATTCTGTATGATTTATAAGCTTGTTTCCTCATGGGGACCTCAAAAATGTCCCCACAAGGTCAAAATTTACTAGTATTACTATCCTTGTGGGGACATTTGGTACACACACACACACACACCTGTTCTTCATGGAGCACCACCTGGTCCTGAAGCGGGTTGCCCAGTGTCGCCACAGAGACGAAATGCTGCCAGACTCCACTGATGGTCCGGGGGAAGATGTCATAGAGCTCAATGCACTGGACGGAGTCTCCTTTCTCCTTCATAGCATACAGCGGTACAGGGTTACATGTGGCCACATAAATGGAATCTATGAGGGAAAACAATGACTCACTTTCAAAATAAAATTCACAAGACTTTCTAATTCCAGATTCATTAGATCTTAGGTCTGGCTACATGAGACTAAATGCAATATCATCACCGTTTAGTCATGGCCTACCGTTAACAGTGGTGACATAGCAGACAATGTTGACCTCATTCATGGGAATCTGCCAGTGAGCCTGTTGCTCAGTGAAGCTCACAGATCTGGACTCGTGCCTCTCAGAAGCATAACTCTGAACCTGCAAAAACACTGGGCCCTGAGGAGAACCAAAGACATCAAATTAGTTTCAAATTAGCAATAGGCTAATATCAACTTTAAAATATTGGAAATAGAAAGGGTTATACCACCTTGATATCGATCCGATGAGACTCTGTTGGACACAGCAGCTTTCGTCGTGTACTTCCACCCTGACTGATGGTCCAGTAGCCCGCCATCTTAGAGTCTGGCAATGGTAACCTGGGAAAAGGGAATCTGGTGAATGGCTTTTTGCCAAAGACATGGAATTTAAATCTTACACCGATTATGACAACATATTGATCATGAAAAAAACTTGTGTCCTTTTATAGGGTTAAGCAAAAGTTGACGGTCACACCAAGATTTTTCAAAATCTCTGTTTACATGCACATCATTTTAATGAAAACTCGGACAATGATTTGGAAAATGATGTGCAGGTGGTCACTGTTTCATTCTGCGGTCTCTGTAGTGGGGCTGGAGTTCATTGACATTCAGGAAGGTTGTAGTTGCACATCTGGTTATTGCTCAGTTACTATTCCCAGAGAAAACATTACTGCACTACTCTGCAATTCAAGCAGATGGGATGATATATCATTCCCCTAAAATATTAATACAATAGAGCGTTACAACCCTTTTAATGTAATGTATCAATGTTCTACCATTGAACAGTTTGGGGTCAATGTGACTTTTTATCTTAAAAAAAAAAACTGTTATTGAAGGATGCATTGAATTAATCAAAAGTAACAGTAAAGCCATTTATAATGTTACAAAATATATCTAATTCACATAAATTCTGTTCTTTTGAATGTTCTGTTCATCAAAGAATCCTGAAAAATGTATCACGGTTTCCACAAAAATGTTAAGCCAACACAACTGTTTTCTACATTGATAATAAGAAATGTTTCTTGAGCAGCAAATCAGAATGATTTCTGAAGGATCATGTGACACTGAAGACTGGAGTAATGATGCTGAAATTCAGCTTTGAATCACAGCAATAAATTGCATGTTAAAGTATACTAAAATAGAAAACAGTTGTTTAAAATCGTTAAAATATTTTATATTTACTGCATTTTTGATCAAATAATTGCAGCCTTGGTAAGCATTAACATTTAAACTTTCAAATACTTCCCAAAAAGGTGATTATATCATTCAAAAGGAAATATTTGTTTCTTCACTTTGTATAAAATATAACAAATTGTATATACCAGATGGCAAAACACTCAAAAGCAAGTGAAATAAGACAAATATGAGACAGATGAAACAAATAATTTCCTTTATTGAAAGTATATAATATACAACACTGAACAAATTAAATGACCGTTATTGAATGAGACATATATTTGTTGTTATATAATGCTGATGACTCACTCTTGATAATCAGATAAAGTACAAATTCCAAACAGTGAAAGGGGACAGATATAACATGGATGCCACACAAAGGCCGTTCCAGAGAAAATTATGTTGTTTTTAACTGCTCCCTTTGCCAAGTCTGTACCAAACAACCACTCTCTCCGGATTTCCCACAATAAGTGCTCTGCTCTTTACGAAAGAACAGGGTATAGTGGTGCTCACTTCCGATTGGAATTTGTCCAAAATCTTTCATATCGTTCAAACACACTAACCAGACGCTAGCAATCAAGTTTTCAGTTTCAGTTATTTCTGAGTCTGAATTCAAGCATGTTTAGGGTTTATTCTATTGCACCTTCAATGAAATAAGCAGCTTATGAGATCAAAGCATCTGTTAAAGGTGAAGCTTGCAATTTTTATGATCCTAGAAATCAAACTGATGTTCATTTGAGCAGTCCAACTGGCCTAGACATATCAACACTGGCTCAACCAATGGTGTGAGTTTAGGGCAGGGCCACCTGTCATTTTGCTATTCTATCTCTGTCATGACTTTAGGAAAGTTACGGTAATATATATGGCAATGTTAATGTGTTTGATCTTGGTGGAATACATCTGCTACACTACTGCTGCGGCAGAGCAAGTACCGAAACTTTCTACTGCCAATATATCCACAGACATGCTGCTGTGAGCATGTAGGAAATACTGCTGCTGTACAATATATGTAATAACATATATAAAATAACCCCCATATATAACATACATGAGATTACCCCGTAGCAGATCTATACAGGTGGAGCTGGGGAAGGTGGAGGGTTTCTGAAACGTGTTGCAACTGCTAATGTAAGCACTAGCCGAGCATTTGAGCAGCAAGCTCATTGGTTGCTGATGCAAAAAGAAACCAATAAGCTGCGCCATGTGAATGATGATATTATTATATCAGATTGACTTAGAAATCGGCCTGCGCCATCTAGAGATCCGTGACAGAACTTTGTATTTAGTGTCACTATTGCTGCAAAAATGGCACACTGCACCTTTAAACAAATACATTTGTTCAAGTGTACGGTTTGAGAACCATGCAGAGCAGATCCTTTTTACAGGTAGTTATATTAGTCCAGCACAGTGTGTTTATTAGAGAAACTGCAGGATATTTGTTCATGATGCTGCATTCGCAGACAGTAAAGGGGCAATAGGAGCTGAGCTATAACTCCTTGGCCAGGTGCACGCTGGTGGGTTTGGCTCCGATGGGAATGCCATGCTTGTGCAGTGCTGCGTGTCCTTGTTATAGGAGTCAAAGTCAAACACATTCCTCACAACGTTGGCCAGGCCCTCATCCGGAAATTTCTGGAAAAAAAAGGAAAGAGGTGAGCCACAAGACAAAAGTCTTTAGTCGTAATGAGGCATTTTAAGAGCACTCTGATCTTATGTTATCAATCACTACCAGCTAAACATCATACAGGAGAAATAGATAAAACATGCAAGACTTTTAATTTGCCACAACACACAGGATGTTACATTGGAATGAGGAATTTAATGAACTGCAGTTTAAAATAAATTCAAATAAATTCAAATTCAAAATTATATCACTGTCAACACTACCTCTGTTGGCTTTTAAGTCTTACAAAACTACAGATGATATACCGCCCAGAAAATGACCTGCTAGCCACAAACAGAAGCTTTAACAAAGAAAACAATCCTCCCAGAAAGACTCATCATTAAGCCAAAATTATGTTTAACAGGTGGTAAAACAAGCTAGCTGTGAAATTGGCAGCTTTCCTGAAAGACTGGTCGAAATCACATTCGATCAGATTAAATAGTCTGCCTGTTACTGACTCAACAAAATCAAATTCAACAAAAAGTGACCGTGCAGCCACCTGTGAGCAGAAAATCCATAGGGTTTCATTTGCCCAGACTGACCTGTGCAATGCAGCTCATTGACTGTGATCTCCAGTGAGCGAGGGGCAGTCACATGTGTTCATTAAAATGCTTTCAGCCTGGCGACAGACGATCTATTCAAAGAAGTCTTTTCCACATCTTGTGCATGTTTATGACAGGACAGGAGTAGAGCTGGGCAATACAGCTAAAAATATCTAAATATTTTTCAGCATTTTGACGATATTCAATACATCTCAATTCATGCATTTGATCTGGTTTGAAACGGTTATATTTCTCAATCAGGAACCATCACTTCGAGGAAAACCCACTGTTGTCTAGTTGATTCACAATGTTAATGCAAACTTATGTAAGAATTAATAAATCTAGTTCACTTCCACTTCAGTTTTCTTTTATTCGCACCAGTTTAACAATACAATTTTGCTAGACGCAAATTTTTACTAGGCGCAAATGAATAGAGTCAGCGTTGATTCTGATAATAATCTCTAATGCTGTTGTTGTTGATGAAGTTGAAATGAGAGACATGTTTTTGTATTAAAACATCTGCGCCTAAACCAGTGGTTTTCGACCAGGGTTTCCATGGTCCTGGCTATATAAGGTAGCCTGATTTTAAAAGTGTGTTTCCACTCCTAGAAAAGTCATGTAAAAAATAATACAATCTTAAAAAGCCACAGGCATTCTTAGAATGAATATACATTTTCTAGTTATGCCAAGCTCTAAAATATGTATTGGGAAGAATAAAATGTAAGTGAGTCATTTAAAAAAAATTGTTTTTATTAAATCCTACTCCTAAATCCTTATTCAGTAAATCACAATGACTTGAAGAGTCATGTAAATTCACTGGTTAATAAGAAGAGTGGGATCCCTGAAGAACATTCAACTCCTAAAACATCTGAAATCGTGAAATTATATTATTTTAATTGTAATAATAATAATAATTTTTGTTACTTTTTTAAATTTACAGAAACTAGGAATGACTTCAAGATTGACCTCAAAACAAAAAGCAAAACTAAAAGGCTAGGGAGTTGCCTGTTGCTTAATATTGTTGGAGACAACGGGGGACTTTAGGGGTGTGCAATATTGACAAAAAAACTGGAACCAGAATCTCGGCAAAAGTAGTAGCTCATCCAGGTGCTTTTTGCCTACTGTTGAATGAATACCATGAATTTGGACATACAGTTTTTTGCATACTATATACTGGCATACCGTTTTTTGCATACTATATAGTATGAAAGTAGCCATATTCAGACACAGCGACTGTCTTAATGAGTTGAGTCATTGAGTTATTCATTCAAACTGATTGATTTAGTCTGATTAAGTCGATTAAGTCGGTCATTGAATCACTGATGAAACTGATTTGTTTAAAAAGCAGATTTGCACATAGTTAAAACAATAATTACAATATATCGCATACCCCCGATACATATCGAGCAAAACAGATGGAGAAGCACTGCTCTAAACTCTCCGATAAACTCA